GTCCAACAGGGCCCTTCTGTCTCCCTTGAACTACTCGACTTCAACATATGGCCAGAATGCTCAATCTCATATCAGCCTCCATGGCTATTTAGCAACCTATCAGTGGCCCATTGGGCTTTGACCCTATACGGCCCAATGGACAGGACCAATTTGAATTTCTCATATTCAACTCCCACACTCTCTATCGTACAAAAATATTACAGCTTTTCTACATATCAAATTGCACCCACCCGTGTCTTCATTTGTCCATCATATCTTACTTACTCACTATTCAACATTCACAATCTCCATATAAATAAAAATAAGTGAGAGAAAATAAATAAATAAATAGGGAGACGTTTTTTTTTTTTTAAAAACGTAAAAATAAATAAAATAAAAAGAAAAGAAGGGAGAATGTGGGATCATGGAATCATTCATGAGAGAATGAGTGAAAAAAGAAAAAAAGTAAGAGAGAGAGGTAAGAAAGTAGAAAATGTACCCATAGAACATATTTTGAAAAATATATCTCAGTCATTATTTTATAATTTAAACATATCTGAACAGTTCAAATATCAAAATATCCTAATAGAACAAAAATATGTTGAAAATTTAAAAAACTTCATACTTTATTATATAGATATGAGGAAGAATGAACTGGAATGTTTTCAACCCTAACTTCAAAAATAAACATTGAATACTTGCAATAATTAGCAAATATTACTGATTCCAGTCAAGTTTGAGTGATCTCAATGAAAGTAGTAATAAAGTGTCTCAATTTATACGTCCTCCCATAGTTTCCATTGCTATGTCACAAACCTACAAACTGAATAAATTTTGGAAGCTCTTATAATTACCATTTTAACTAATATCATTTTCAAAAATATATTATAAATAAAATTAGATAATATTACCAGTCACTACAAAAGCCTAGAAACATACTGACAAGAAGAAATATTGAGCACAATTATAATATAATATTATATAGTAACTGAGGAATAAAATATTACATATAAAATTAAATAAATATTTAATATCCCTCACTACTCCAATCATCAAAATATTATATTTCTTATGATGTTACATTTGCTAATACATTTACTAATAATCTTACTAAAACTCACATATTTGGATAAGATCATTATCACTAAATATTAAACCAATGGCTGAGTCACATAGTGACAAGGAGTCACATGCTATAGCGATTCTGATTTGGACCCGACCCATTTATTACTTTTAAATTTGAAAAATTATATCCGTAGCGCTTGTACTCCTTTCTTTCATGTTTGGTTCGAGCTTCAAGGGTCGACACCAGTCTTGGTGGTGTCAACACTACATTCCTCTTCATGTTTTGTTCAACTTTGGGGGTCGACACCAGTCCTCCTAGGGTTGTTTTGCTCTTGGTGTTGCTTCTGGTTTTTGGGGTTTACACCAGTCTTCCTAAGGTCGACCCTTGTTTGCTGTTTTGTTCTGAGTTGTCTACTGAAATATAGGGTCGACACCACGATTTCCTAGGATCGACCCTTGTCTGCTGCACACATTAGTGTCTCAACATTTTCTTTCTAAAAGTCGACACCACTGTCGTGAGGGTCAACCCCTGTGTGTATTTTCCAAATTTTTGGGACGGTTTTGGGCTCCACTTTTTGGGAGTTTTGGCTTATTCCTTTTGTTGACCATGGGGCTATTATTCTATTAGTACTTACCCACTATAAATAAGCTCCAAAATACTTTCCACTCATTATTTCCCTCTTTTTTTTCCTCTTTACTCGTGACTTCTCTCTCTTTCTCTCAAAGCTCAACTTCTGTCACTTAGATTTTTAGATCTACTCTCCTAAAGATACCTTCTCATTTTGGTCCTTTGAAGTAGATTGTAGATTGTGTCAAGGGACTTCTTTTGATCCAAGAGGTTTGTGATTTCATCGACATTGAGTTTCCTCTGAGTTTTCATCTTTCCCTTTTAAACTTGAGGTAGGGATTTCTCCACACTTTTTATAGTTTTTAACTTAATTATTTGTTTTTATAAAATAACATTGTGAAAAAGTGAATTTTGAACAACCTAGGGTGTTGGCTTGATATCGAAAGAGGGATTTCAAATGGATTGTTGGAAATGATTGAGCAAATGTATTTATTGTTGAGTTGTGATGAAAAGGTGAATTTCTATCCTTGGAATTGATTTTTTTTTAAAATGGGGTTTTACCCTAAATGTCTCAAATATGGATTTTGTATAAATAAATGGGATTGATGTTGAAATGGAAAAATTGGATTGATGTTGATAAGGATGGTAGAGTTGGGTGTGTATTATCACTCACATCTTGAAATTTGATAAAGTTATCTTTATTGAATTTATTTATCTGCTTAAAGATATCTGTTTTGGGCTATCGATGGAGAATAGTTATGATTGTTGTAGAAATTGCATGAGAACTAAGGGAATTGAAAATATTTTCTCATCCATTGCATTAAGTATTGTTGCATATTTAACACATTTGAAAATGTATTTTGTTTTGAGAAAAATGGTAAATACTTTGTGAATCTGGGTAGTGCGTGTGGTTACAATATTAAGTTGGCCTGTGTGTCCTTGATGAAAGATCAGAAACCCGTGCGGATATGTATCGAGCCTTCTAGCTAATACCAGTAAAAATGACAAATTGGTACTACTTATATAGTCTACTTGCAGACACGTATCTAGAAATTTACTCACAGTCCTGTTTTATGAATTATGATATAAATCTGGCATTACATGGTTTTGAAAGAGATATAAAATGTTTTAGACACAAGCATTGCATATGCGTTCACCTTATAACTTTGTTATGATTCATATACTGTGTTAGATTATTTCTACTGGGTTTTGGCTCACCCTATGTGAGAAAACCATTTTCAAATGTCGATGATATGCCTCCGCTAAGGCAATAGCTTGGAAGGACTTGAAAGTAAGAGCTTCATTTTGTTTATTTGGTTGTGTTCACTTTATACAAGCCTAGGGTTTTAACTGTATTGAATTTAAATCTATTTTGTTATAACCAAGTACTATCTTGGAAAGCTGCAAGCCTTTAGGGCACTTCTTATTTGTTTAACTTTCATTTTATCTCTCTATTATGTAACATATACTATAGATTCAGAGTTAGGTTTGTGAATGTATATCTGCATATATCACTCTTTTGTGCAATTAATTGAAACTAATGGGAAATAATTACTTACGCATATGTTGTTATTTAATAAATATGATAGATGGTTTATTATCTTTTATTTTGGGACGTTACACGTGCCCCTAAATTTTATTTTATTTTATTATTATATGTATATAAATAAAATTTTAAACAAAAATAATGTTTTAAATAAAATATCAATGATATTTTTAAATTTATGAGAAGAATTGGGAAATAATTACTTACTCATATGTTGTTATTTAATGAATATGATAGATGGTTTATTATCTTTCATTTTGGGATGTTACACGTGCCCTTGAATTTTATTTTATTTTATTTTTATATATGTATATAAATAAAATTTTAAATAAAAATAATATTTAGAATAAAATATCAATGATATTTTTAAATTTATGAGAAGAATAATGATTGTTTTATTAAAAATGAAGTGACAACAACAAATTATATTTTTATGTATAAAAATTTTATTAAAAAAAATCTCAATATGAAAGTAATATTCATCATTATTAATATACAAATATAATTAACCTCACTATATATACTGTATGTAAAAATTACTAAAGTGTTAATTATATTTGTATATAAAATTCACCCTTCATATGTTCATTTACTATTGAATAGTGATATCATGTCAATGATAAAGTGATATCACTAGTATATGAAATTTTTAAACAAATTTTATAAAAATTTAACTTATCTCACCATTATATAATTTATTTTAAAATTTAAATATATGACTTTTTTATATTATCCATGATACACTAATTACACGCAATACTTTTTTAATTTTACACAAAAATAATTATAAAATTTTATGTGAAATACTTTGTAATAATTTATTTAAATTTGTATACTTAATATTAATTCAAAAATAATTATTATTTTCTTATTATTAGTTATAAAAAAAAGTTAAATTATAATTAATAAATATCCTTCTGATTTAATTTTCTACCTCCACTATTATACTGAACCCACATTAATTTGTGAATGTGTTAATAAAATTATTTATAAATATATTAATATCCCTAATATTTTTCAATTTCTTATTCATAATATCCCTACTATACCTCACATGAGCTCCCACCCCATTATTATCTCAAACCGATCAGTGATGATAAGGATGAAGATTTATACATAGGTCCCTTTTGGCAAACAACAAAAAAACAAAATAAAATAACACAAAAATGGGGGATATATGGTTGGTTGAAATGTATAATTTGTAATGGATAAATTATTAATACACCTCTTGAGATTTACTTAAATTATGAATTGCCCCCTGTAATTTAAAAAATTACAAATACTTCTCCGTCAGAATATTTTATTTAACAGAATTAATTAAAAAAATACAATTTCTAATTGTTCACCTATACAATAATAAAATTATCCGAATTATTAATTGAAATAAAATTTTAACATTATTAAAAATTATTAATTAACTTAATGATTTATTAATAAAAAGGCCTATTTATTATAAAATTAAAATTTTATAAAGAATAATGTAATTTGTAAAAAATGAATAATTTGTAATTTAATTAAATCTCAACAATGTGTTTGTAATTTATCTCAAAAACAAAAAATTTACTAAATTATACCCAAAATAAGCCGTAATTACATTACAACATTGATTTTGATTTGTATCTTTGAGTGTGCACTTGTTGACAAATGTTGTAACTGAACCCAGCGCACAAGAAAACAATGTGTTTGTAATTTATCTCAAAAACAAAAAATTTACTAAATTATACCCAAAATAAGCCGTAATTACATTACAACATTGATTTTGATTTGTATCTGAGTGTGCACTTGTTGACAAATGCTGTAACTGAACCCAGCGCACAAGAGAGAGAGAGAGAGAGAGAGAGAGAGCTAGAACGTAACAGTAAATAAGTACAATTCAGAAATATATCTATCACAAAAAACACAACCAACCAAACCCCACAAAGATATTTACAATTTTACTGTTTGTTTCTTCACTCTCGTCTCGTCAGGGCTCGTCATCAGTGGTTGGAAGAGTTCTAGCTTTAGCTTTTTGATCTACGGTGCAGATCGTTTTTACCGACCCAGACCCAGAGTGAGACTGAGAGCAGCCTTGACATCCAGTCTCCATGCAAAATCTCCACCGTCCATCTTCCACACATCACAAGGCACCGTGATGGAGGTCGCCTCCTTCCCACACATGTACTGCAGCCTCACCTTGCAGGTGAAGGCCGGGTACGTTATCGGCACCCTCTCCTTCATCACCAACCAAACCATCACCGGTACCCCTCCAACCCCACCATCATGGTCCACCATCTCCCTGTACGCCCCGTTGGTCCACCCGACGCGATTCAGGCCGTCCGATATGAACCCCGGGCACGTGTCCCTCTCCAGATTCCTCATCCTCTCCTCGTCCGTACGCCCCAGACCGCAACCTTCAACCCACGTGTCGGTCACGCATTCCACCGTCACGATCGACCCCAGCAGCCTCACCGGCTGCGGCATCGCCACCTCCACCGTCTGATCTAACCCGAAAGACACTTGCCTCGACGACGATGCATAATTATTACTACTATTATCGTTGTTGTTGCTAAAGTTTAACCAGATTGTTTCGTTCTTCTTCTGTGGTGCTTTTTCAGCACTAGTCAGACTCAGATCAGAATGGTTACTACTCGGAGACCCCCCCCTGACCGGTGACTTTTTCCAGTCGGGTGTCTCCGGCAACAAAGGCAGTGTCACCACCGTAACTCCGCCAGAAACTGACTCACCACCACCACCACCACAACTGGTGGTCTTGTGAAGTGGGTCAGTTTCAGTTTCCTCCGTAGAGGAGGAGGAGGAGGTCTTTCTTTTCCTTTTACTAGTGCCGTTGTTGTTGTTTGCATCTCTAACGTACCTTCGCTTACCTCGTCCTCCACTTCCGACGTACACTTCGTTGTTCGTAGAACCGCCGGAAACTGACCCACCAGTCGCCGGCTTCGGTGCGATGGGACGGAATCTGAGCATTATACGGTCCACCTTCGACATATCGCCGCCAGCGTACCGCGCAATACAGCAACCACCCCTCCCCTCCATCCTCTCTCTCTCTCTCTCTCTATATATATATATATATGTCTCTCTTTCTTTCTTTCTGTGTTTCTGTCTTTTTTTCTGAATGAATGAATGAGCGCACTAAATACAGAACCGGGCACCAGTGGAGGTGATCAATTTAGAGCAATGCTAGGTATGATGAAAAAATTTTCATAAAAATGATCATGAAAGATTTATGACCCTTAGATTACACTTAAAATAAAACATCACACACTAATCAAGGTAATCAAAGGGTCATAAATTTTTCATGACCAGTTTCATGAAATTTTTTTCATGATCCCTATCTTTTCTCGTCAATTTATAAGCCATCTACATATGACGCGTGTTAGAGCTTACACGTGGCTAACAGAGCTCGAACAGTGCACAATCTGGATCATCATACTTACGGAAGGATGTTAACGCAAAAACAACAACTGAAACGCATAGACCTTTCAAATAATACATACTGTTTTCTTTTACGGAAAGAGGGTGGCTGCTGTAAGCAATCAAAAATGATTTAGCCTCCATTTAGAAAGTGGGTTAGTTTTTTGATTTTTTGATTTTTTTTATTTATTTTAATTTGGGCTTAAAAGTTTAGTTTGGGAAGAATTTTTTGATTTTTTGACTTTTTTGAATTTTTTTGTAAGAGAAGAATGTAATGATTATGGGTTTGATGTGATGTTTTGTTTGTTATGATTAAAATAGTCTATTTTATTTTTTATAGCTAAAATAGCCAAAAAAGCCCAAACCATGGCTTCCCAAAAGACTTTTAAAAAGATAGTTTTAATGAAGCATTAATTTGTTTTCTTTCTCTTATTTTTTGTCTTTTTACTTTACTTTATTTTTATTTTTTTTAATAGGTGGATAGCTCATTAGAACTGTACTGTAACAGCTCTAATTAGAGCTCTACAGCACTTCCGTGTGAGCAATGCCGCCTATTTTCGGTCTCATTTTCAGTGGATATATCAATTCGTCAAAATTAATTGAATCGAATCGATCCGTCGCATTTTGGATGGATGTGTGATGACGAGCGAACGGTTTGCAGATTGATTTTCTTCAATCCGCCAGTCTGACAGACGGATGGCGTATTTTTATTATGTTCCAAATTGATTTTGATTATAGGACTTTGAGGTGGTTAGTTACCAAAAGAAATGATCTTTTTTTCGTTATGAACCAAAAGTGATATATATATATATATATATAGGGGTGAGCAGCGGATATACCGATCCATCAAAATCGACCGAGCCGAACCGATCTGCTGCATTTTGGACGGATGCGTGATGACAAGTGGACAGTTGTGGATTGATTTTCTCCAGTCCGCCAATCTGGCGGACAGATGGCGGATTTGAGATTTCTCTGGCCGCAATCGAACCGCCAAATCACGAGCACCCCTAGTAATTTATAAGACTTTGTGTTTTCTGTTTGTTTAAATATTCTGTTTGTGTTTTCAATTAAAAAAGAGTTTAAATATTCCGTTGAAAAAAAGTTTTCAACTTGAATATCTTTTTTAAATTGAAAAAAATAAATGTATTATTTATCTATATTTTTTAGTTTTTAAATCTATATCTAAAAATAATAAATAGAAAATATGATATATGCTGGTTGGTTTTTGTTTTCAAAAACAGATATAGATGTAACAATACAGAGACATACAATCTTTACTACTGCTCTGTTTATGGTTTTTGTGGTTTGAATTGTTTTTATATTTTAAAAACTAAAGATTGTAATATTTTATGTGGATGAGGCATGCTGTGATTGTGATATTCAAAAGTTTCAAACTTTCTTGCTTTGGATGAGGCATGCAGTGATTGTAATATTTTTTTAAGTCATTGACTGTAATAAATTTTTTTTTTTTTTTGAGGAAGTGCACAAGTTGAATTATGTTGAAAATTTATAAAATTTTAAACCGCCAAACCGATTCGTATCCATCCGCCAAATTGCCAATCCGCTCAATCCGCATCCGCCGGATTGGCGGACGGATGCAGATTGATTTTCTCCAATCCGCCAATTTGGCGAACGGATGGCGGATTGGAGGTTTCGTGGCCGCAACCGACCCACGCCCACCCCTAACATAAATATTCTTGGTCAATTATGAAACATAAATCTTTTATTTTGAACAAGTTACAAATACATCCATAAATTTTGTTTAAAATATGAATCGGTCCTATGATACCAGAAATTACAACTATCGTTTATTATAAATTTTAAATTAACACAATATCCAAGAAAAAAAAATATTATCCTACGCAATAATAAATTTTCAATTTTTTTTTATTGAAAAATATTTCTGATAACATGAAAAATTGTTAATTGACTTAATGATTTATTTATTAACAAAATGGTTAACTGAAAAATATTTTTCATATCATTAAAAATTATTAATTTACTTAATGATTTACTTATTAATATAATTGGTCATTTGTTATGTGAGTATGATTTATGTATTAATAAAATTAGTTATTTGTATATATATATGTATTTTTTTTTGTTTCTTTATTAGTTCAGTGAATTATCTTAATAACTTTTTTTTTATATGGGAGAATTATCTTAGTATTTATTTTATATTCATCTATTGAGAAAAGCTATACACCATATTTTTTTTAAAATAATTTTGAAAGAAATGTTAAAAACTCATTAATTTTCCAAAAATGATATAGTAATAAAACTAGAGTCTACATCATTAGATATATAACAAATTAAAAAGTGATACTTATTATACCACATAATTTTATTATATATCTAATAATTTATTTTATTCAATTTCATAGAACAATATTTTAATTTTTTTTAAATTATCAAATTATAAATTTAAATATACTGTAATAATAATTCGTACCTTGTTCGAATCACTACGCCAAAACAGGGCATTAACGGCGGTTTTTTTAACGGCGGTTTCGTTACCGCCGTTTAAAGATACTATTAACGGCGGTAACGAAACCGCCATTAATACCGCCGTTAATGTATTTTTAACGACGGTTTTCGTTACCGCCGTTAACAATACCGCCGGTAATGACCCTTTAACAGCAGTAATGAAACCGCCATTAAAAAATCGTCGCTAAAGCCATTTTTAAACGGCGGTAATGAAACCGCCATTAAAAAATCGTCGCTAAAGCCATTTTTAAACGGCGGTAATGAAACCGCCATTAAAAAATCGTCGCTAAAGCCATTTTTAAACGGCGGTAATGAAACCGCCATTAAAAAATCGTCGCTAAAGCCATTTTTAAACGGCGGTAATGAAACCGCCATTAAAAAATCGTCGCTAAAGCCATTTTTAAACGGCGGTAATGAAACCGCCGCTAAAGCCCTCTTATTACCGCCGTTAATGACGACAGTCTTTGCCGGCGAAACTCCGGCGTGCTCTGGCAAAACTTCGGCGAGCTCCGATGAAACCATCTACAATAAAGTAAAAGTAATGTTTAAATATTTATTTAGGGAATATATTTCATGAAGAGTGGCTATGGCAGAGTGGTTGGTGTGGGTGAATGAGAGGTCTTGGGTTCAGAACTTGGGGAGTGCAAGAAGAAAGAATTACTTTTTGAAAAAATCTGAACCT